TTAAAACAGGGAATATTCTCAGAGTTGTTTGGTTGTAAGTTCTTAAAAATCCAACTCAGTTTGGCTTCAGCAGAAAACTAGAATATGTTGGTGACACAATTGAGAAGCCCCTAGGTGGTTCAATGTCGCTGGAAATTTCTTCTTTCTCTCTTGGTGCTGCTTGCCACTGTGTTGCTTATTCCTAGACAGGGTCTCAGGTGGCCCACCAGGCTTCTATAGCAACCTTTTACTCTTTACTAAGGTTCAGGATCAAATGTCATTGACTCCCCTGAGGTCTCATACATAACCCTGAACCAATCATTGTGGCCCAGGAATGTGGCCCTCTATACCTACAAGTATACCCTAGAGGAGATAGAGGAGGGGTGAATTGTCAAGCAGTGCTGTGAGAAAAGCAACCTGATGGGCATGTGAAGGGTGGACTGAGGGCAATGTCAGACAAAACAGGAAAGTCTAAAACGGCATTTGGACTCCGAGATGGGGACCTCAGTTCACCCTTTTCAGGAAAGATCAGCCAAAGCAAAGGAACAAGAAGCATCCTATCAGACATAAGATGCAAGTTCGTGAGCAGCCTTTGGGCAGGACTTAACCCTCAGGCCCAAAGGCAGTGAGGAAATCATTGGATTGGCAATAGAACAGGAGTCAGGAAACTCGAATTTTCTCCTTGGCTCTGTGACTTCTCTCTACATGACCTTGAGCAATTCACGTAACCTTTCTGAACTTCAGTTTCCTCATTTCTAAAATAAGTCAGGAGGGCTACATGGTCACTGGCTTCCTTTTCTGTCCTCCTTTTCCATTCTGCACTGCTATTTCTGATCTGAGTATAACTGATCCTTCCTTCATAACTGCTCTGGAATTTACCTCTCCCTGTCTAGTGACCGAAGTCTTCACAGAGTCATTAAGATTATGATCTCTTTTGCTTACCAGCTGTGGGATTGTGGGCAAATTACCTAATCTCTCTTTGCCTCAGTTTCTTTATCTATAAAATAAGGATAATAATAGTCCCTACCTGTTTGGGTTGTTGTGTGGATTAAATTAAACGAATATATGCAAAGTGCTTAGGACAGTGTGAGGCAAATTTTAAGTGCCACATAACTGTTGGGTACTATCAGAATTATTCACTGTGTTAATTTATGGCTTCTCTTAGGATAAGAGGCTATTGAATCCAGGACATGGGAAGATGGACAGCGTTTGAAAGATACATTTCTTTGGCCATGTAAATAATTCAGAAATGGACACGATGATAGTCTCCTTTGGGCTTGAAGAAGGAAAGCAGTGCATTGTGGGTATGGTGGGCATATTTTTTCAGAACTTTAAACTATATAATTTTGTAAGTCTGATTACATTTATCAGGCAAGCAGAAATGACCCTTTGAAATAAAAACTGCCTGCCCTCCATTCTTGCCATAATTATGGATAGATTTCATTTGCTTGAATCCATAGTCCTGTCCCTTCAACAAACATTGCAACCACTGAAGAAAAAACATCACTTGTGTTAGCCCAGAACCAGTTATATTGTGCCCTCACTCCCTGAAAACTGCTTTCTACATGCTGCAGGGACAGCACAGTACTTAGGGACACACACACACACACACACACACACACACGCACACACACTTTTTTGTTGTTGTTCCCAAGGCTGAAGTTTCACCAGTTTCAGACTCCTCCAACAAATTCCAAATGAGTCATTTCCCAAAATCTTCCTTGTCAGTCCTGCCTCTTAGTGCCAACATTCCCTGTGCAGAAAATAAAATCAAACAAGAAGACACGAAATTGATGTGCCTTGTTGGCTTCTAGAAACAACCTCATTTCATTTGCTGGAGTTACTGGGAATTGCTTCCACAGCCTAGGTACTTATGATAGGACACTTCTCCTTAGTCTTGAGGCTAAGTTCAAAGGAGTTGTGACCTAACTTGGCTCTGAATGCTAAGGGCTTCAGTCAGAAATAGCAACTCACACCTGTGTTTCTATTTCCCAAGGGCTTTCATTTCTATTACTATATCTGTTTCTCACGGCAATCCTGTGGGTAGATATGATTATTATTGCCATTTTATAAAATAGGTAACTGAGGTTCAGAGAAGGAAAATGATTTAACTAAAGGCAAAACAAATTCATGTCTCAGCAAGACCAGAGACCTATGTCTCTATGACATCTACTTCAATGATTTTTCCCAGGAACAACAAATAGGATTTTCCTCATATGCCATTTTTCCAGGCACATGGGACAAGATCAAGGGCTGCACATTCCGATGGAAATACGTTTGTGAGTCTCAAATGTAATTATACATTTTGTCTATTGGTGGTGGCTGGCCAAAGATCTAGCATTGAAAAAGATTCTAAGGTCATGCATAGGGTTGATTGTCTAATACACTATGGGATAAGAAAGTGGTAGCATGTGCACCAGGCATCTGCCCTACACTGTATCATGATATCTAGACTCTTTAACCTTCTTATATTTCAGCAATCTATTGATCATTATGTCTTAGAAGCATAAGAAGTATATATTTTAGTTGCAAGCAAGCTCGAATACACTTAAGCCAAAAAAAGGAGAATGTATTATATAAGAGCATGGAGGTGTCTCCTGAAACCCAGTGATAGGAAGTGCTGACAGTCCTCTCCATGGACTGAAACCAAGAAATGAAATGTCATCAGAAACCCAGGAAGAATCTTTCTGTCACTTAACTTCTGTCTTTATTCTAACTCTTCTGTCCCCCCACCTACCACAAACCCTCCTCTTTATTTTCTTTCTTTCTCCCTCCTCTAACTCCCTCCAGAACCACATGTTCATTTGTATCTGCATCTCTCTGACCATTTGCTTCATCCTTCTTTCTCTCTAGATTGGTTTTCTCTCTTTTTCCTGGCACATGGGACAAGATCAAGAGATGCACATTCTGATGGATATACATTTGTGAGTCTCAAATGTAATTATATACTTTGTATCTAGTAGCCACATTTAAAGGAAGCCAAATAAAGAAAAATTAATATTAGAAATATATTTTAATCTATATATTCATAATATCATTTAACATGTAATTTAATATAAAAATTTAATGAGATAGCATTCTAAATTTTTTCTTTATATTAAGTCTTCGAAGTCCAATGTGTAGTTTACACTTATAACATATTTCAATTTGGATTGGTCACATTTCAGATGGCCAGTGTTTAGTGGCCACCAAACCAGACAGCACAGATCTAGAGTTCAATGTCTTTTTTTTCTAGCAGCCAGCAGGGAAAGGATTGGCATCTCCAAATCTCTGTGTCAAGCTTTCAGGACAGAATCTGATTGGCTCATATTGAGTCACTTGTTCATACCTCATCCAATCAGCCTTGGCCAGTGTCTTAGTCTATTTTGTGCTATGACAGAATACCTGAGACTGGGTAATTTATAAAGAATAGAGATTAATTTCTTATAGTTCTGTAGGCTGGGAGGTCCAAGGTCAAGGGCCTCAAACCTGGTGAAGGCCTTCTTGCTGCATCATTCCATGGCAGAAGGTGAAAGGGAAGAGAGACAAAGAAAGAGAAGAAATAGGCAAAGCTCACACTATCAGGATCCCACTCCCACAATAACAACATTATTCCGTTCATGAGGCAGAGCCTCATGACCTAATCACTTCTTGCAGATCCCCACTTCCAACACTGTTGCACTGGGGATTAAGTTTCCAACACAGGAATTTTAGGGGACGTGTTCGTACCATGGCCACCTGGAAGGCAAAGATCCCCTTTTATAGACATGACAGCTAAAGGACAGGGCAGTTCTCAGAGACAAATGGAGGACTTGCCTGAGCCTAAAAGATATATAACAATGTTTGCAAAGGACTTGTTAGGAAGAAACATCTAGTGTCATCCTGCATTCTCTGGAAGATTCCAGAGGTTCTCCATAATCTTGCATTTGGGGGAATATAAAACAGGTTTCACAAGGCAAGAGCAAGCCAAGAAGAATAGTGTGCTGCCACCTGGAAAAGATAAATCAGCACGCATTTCTAATTCAAGAGAGACCCAGAGCTGCCCAGAGAGACAATACCATACAGTATAAACTCAGTGGTGGATCAGAAGTTTGAGGTGGAGGCTTACTTCCACAAGTTCAAGACTCATCTCTTAGAATGAGGTTAACCCAGGAAGGATAATCCCATGCTACTTGGGAATCTGCCTTGGCCCTCTGGCCCCCCGGGCCTCAGGGGGGAACATTTTTTATGCCAATCGCCAACACCAAGAGCTCTCCTTTATACAGACACTTTTCAGTTACACAAACAATTTTTGTGGGAATATCCAGTAATCTCTAGTTTTGTTTATGGAAGCTCTTCAATATGAAGAAGGCTTAAGTCCTTCATGAGAGCAGAGGAAACAGCTATCTCTCTTCCTCAGGGCACCAGGGCTTCAAAAGGAGTGTTATGCCACTTACTTAGTGAGCCATAACCTTTTATGAGGTGACTGTGTTGACTGTCACAGCTCCTCACCAAACACTTGCTCTTAGACCTTAGGTAATGCAGGTGACAAAGAAAGATGGCTGCATGGAAGATGGCTGCATGGCAGCTACTCTGAGAACAGCTAATGCCAGGAAGGGTGGAAAGGTGAGAAGGTAAAATTCCTGGAAGCCCATTTCTTTGGTTGGGGCAGAGCCACTGGTCAACATTTCTCATTCTCAAAGTGTAGAGCAAGGATCACAGTTTTTCATGGCCTGGAAGATAGGATCTAGCCCCCACCTACCTTTCTGCCCTCATCTTGCTGTTTGCTTTATTCCAAAACTGGTCTGCTTTCTTTTTTCTTTTTCTTTTTTTTTTCTTTTGTTTTTTGAGATGAAGTCTTGCACTGTTGCCCAGGCTGTAGTGTAGTGGCACAATCTTGGCTTACTGCAATCTCTGCCTCTGGGGTTCAAGTGATTCTCCTGCCTCAGCCTCTAGAGTAGCTGGGATTACAGGTACCGACAACCATGCCCGGCTAAGTTTTTTGTATTTTTAGTAGAGACAAGGTTTTACTATGTTGGCCAGGCTGGTCTCAAACTCCTGACCTTGTGATCCACCCACCTCAGCCTTCCCAAGTGCAGAGATTACAGGCGTGAGCCACTGCACTTGGTCCCTAAAACTGGTCTCCTTTCTATTCCTTGCTCATGACAATCCTTCAGAATCTTCCCCTCTTCCCCAGCTCTTTGCATGACTTACCTATTCTCGTAGTTCAAGAATCAACTCAAGTGTCCTTTTTTCATTTAGGTCTCCCTTGACCCAGTCTCTCAGGTCCATGCATAAGGTAGTCTCTTACACCTTCCTTCAGGTCATCCTCCAATGCATTACCTACTTCATCACTGTTTTTCCAAGTTGGAATCATCTTCTTTATTCATCTGTTTGTTTCTTCATCTTCCCCACTGGGATGTAAATTCCCTGAGAATAAGAACACATCTAGCTTATTAACTTCTGAACCCCAGGGTCCCAAATGGTGCCTGTCACATAAGAGGATCTCAGGAAATACTTCTTGAATTTATAAATCAACTCTCTGGGGTGCCCCAGGGCCATTAAATCACATTCTCTAAGAGCAGAGTCTGAAATCTGTGTTGTTCACAAGTGCCTCAGAAGACCTGTACACATCGTGGGGGGTGAGAAGTGTATTATTTCTACCTGCCTTGTCAAGAGTCCTGCTTTCACTCTTATCCTAACCTAAAGGCTGTGTCCTGTCAGAGACTCTGAGGCAAGTTAGAGGGAACTTAAGGCTCCTCCAACTTGATGGCTCAGTTTGCTCTTCCTAAGACTATTCATTGAACAATGATGCATTAGGGGTATGAGCTGATGAGCTCAGTAAGGGCAAGAACCATGTGAGTCTTCTTCATTGCTTATCACTGGTATGCGGCATAGCACCTGCCACATAGACAGCCCACAACAAACATAACCAATGAGTGAGCACTGACATGAGTGCCAGGCAATGTGTGAAATGCCAAGTGTGGCAAATGTGCATAAAACTATTCGATGCTCAAAGTCAAGGGGGAAGGCAAAACTGAGAAATTTAACATGAGAACATAAGCTGAATGTCCAAGGTTCTTTGGGCTTCATAGTAAAGGTAAAATTTGAGCTGCACGTTGTTTTATTTCTTCTGCATCCCCTGGATAAGTCTGATACCTCTCATGTCAATTATCTGTAAGTAAAACAGCTTCTTTTTCTTGAGATATAGTAGAGAATAGTTGCTTCTGTTTGGGCTCCATAGTTTTCTTAATAATTGTGCAAAATGAAGCACGTCTTTCCAGGCCTCACCTTCCTGTGTTTGTGCCAACTTCACAGGGCTGTCCGGAGAATTAGATCAATTAATACACATAAAAAGCCTAGCTTGTGACATAGTAATCACTCTAACTATATTATTACCATGTAGTTTTTAACACCTTCTAAACACTGTATCTAGCCTTCTCTTCAATGCGCATTGGGGAAAAAAGTGCCTTTTTAAAAATGTATTTTACTATTAGCTAATGCAAAAGGGAGTATCAGTTCCAAGCTCTGTCCAAGTTAATACAAATCCCAGGTTAGTGGAGTCTGAAATTAACGGCTTTTTCTCCTTGTGACATTATAATTTAGAATGTAAGTATTTTCTCCCCAGATGGGAGAGGAGTTTCACTGTTCCATCACAGAGAACAGTATCCTCATGGCTGCTGAAATTTTTTGAAAAAAAAAAATGTATTATAATAAAATGGGCAAGGGAAGATCTTTTGTTATGTGAAGCTTTAACTTCAGTAGAGAAATCTCAGATGGGTAGATTATTGTTCATGCCTCGGAGAGGCTTTGAATCCCAGGAAATGAGGGGAGGGTCAGTGGGGTTTGTTAATAATGCTCCATTAGCGAGTAAATTTCTGGACTTTGTGGCTACGGAAACTACACACCCTGGCTTGCCCCTGATGTCCCAGTTAGTGCCCATCATTGTTGTTTAATTAATAGTAACACTTTCTTGCATTCTCTAAACTGCCCCAGTTTGGGTGACAAATTAGATTGTCACCTACTCGTGGCTCTTTCTTTCTCCCCAGCAGAGAACCCAAGACCCAACCTGGAGTAGTAATGATGAAAATTATATTTGCGCAGCCCTTGATATATACTGGGCACTGTGTTAAATATCCATCATGCATTATTTCATTTATTCTTCTCAACAAGGCTCAGATAAGACTTCTAGTAGACATGGGCACAGAAAAGATTTCACTGTACCCCTCAACCATATTCAACATAAAAAATACTATACATGCTAAATTAAATAATTAAAATCCTCATGCATTTTGAAAAATAGCTTTTTTCCTGATGTGTCATTACAAAATTTGGAACTCATGCATCGAAGTTGAACTTTTCACATTTTCCTTCTATTTCTTGCTAGGACCTGAAGCACATACTTGATCTGCCTGTGTTCACAGATCTAGAACAGCTCACAATAACCCAGCAGGTGAGTGTGACTGCATCCATTTTACAGATAGGAAGCCTGAGATTTAGAGAAATCATCCCACTGTCACATGCTAGTTCCTCGGGTTTAAAATATCATGCTTAGTCCCCCTCACATTTTAACATTTCTGGAATAAAGAGAATCTCACAACAGAAGAGCATTTTTGAGTGTAGTATGTCTCTCCTGACCCATTTTTATGACTTTAAAAATGTATCCTATACCTGACAGCTCCTTAGGCTAAAGGACACATATGAACAGCAAAACTGACATTCAAACCTGCTCAACCTGACTTCTTATCTTTAACCACTGTGCCACACTGCCTTGAATCAATCTTTATTAAATGTCACTATAAATAAAGAGAAAAATTTTTAGCAAATCTTAAATGTTGTTTTGCTAAATATAGTAAATAAACACTGTTCATAGTGCACTAAACACTATGCATAGTGATCGAATGAGCAAAAGAATACCTACCTCTACAGTTTTCAGCCTGTCAGCTTCTTTCTAATATTCTGTAGGACTGACCAGGGTGGGAACTTGGGGGTGAGGATGGTGGGTGGGAAGGTAACAGCACCAAAAGCATAAGGAGAGGGAAGTAGAAAAAGCAAGGCACTGGGGCAAGGATCCCCAAATTAACTTTTCTGATCTCACTTTGCAGGGAACAGACATTGCATTGTAACTCCTAGTAGGCTAGGTCTTACCTGACTTTGACTATGCTTAACTATTCTGAGCCCCAGTTTCATCATCTGTAAAATGGATGTAATTAGAGTTGTTGGAGATATGACAACTTGAATCAGGCTGGGGATTTTTCCTGTCCTTCCTCTAGAGCATTAGAAGACGTATTATAAGAAAGGCATTTAGAACAGTCCCTGGTACACAAAAGTCCTTAAGAGGTGTTACCCATCGTTACCTGCCATCCCTTCAACCTCATTTGAGGCCACCGCCCCTTCCCTCCATCATCCCCAACAAACAATCCCCAGGCATGTTAGTTTTCCTTCAGTTATTCCAACAAACCAAGAGCCCTTTACCTCTTCAGAGTCCTCACACTTGTTGTTCCTTCCTCCTGGCATGCTCTTCCAGAATTCCATCTTTGAAGAGCCAATTTATGCTCATGCTGGAGCCTCAGCTAAATTATCATCTCTTTAGAGATGCTTTCCCGGATTCTCTTCAAATACAGTCTCACTCTGTGTCTTTCTATTGTATATCTTTGCTTACTCCCTTCCTATCCTTCATCAGAATCAAAATGGTCTCATTCATTCATTAGTACAGGTACTTATCACCCGCCACCACCACACCAGGAATATACACAGTCCTGCTATTCTTGAGTCCCTGTACATAACGCGTGCAATGCCTGGCACGATAGATACTCAATAGAGATTTGTTGAATTGCATTTCCCAAACGTAATAAATGAAAGCCTCAGAATCTAAATCCAGGTCAGTTTATAGCCAGAGGGAAAGGGAAATGGTTTGTTTTATAAATGGTTTTCTCTCCCATAGGAACCTCCTTCCCTCAAGAGCCTATGACTCAGCATTCCATTCCAGGTGCCTCTCGTGTTTATCTCCCAGTGCATGTGCTTCATAGTAGGATTAGGTTTTCATGCTCATGTATTTGATGATTTGGGTTCATCTCTGACACTCTTGAGAATAGGCACCTTCCCATGGACCTGTGCTTGAAAGTAATGAAAGCTGTCTCACAAAGCTCTCTTTACCTCTGCTGTCTGGGGAGCTGCAGCGTTATTGACAGTACCACCACATTGTTTTCTGAATCGAACATTTTCTAACCAGATGCCAGTGGGATTTAGGGAACTCAAATCAGGTTGGGGATTCTTCCTGTCCTTGGCAGGGACAGAGTGCAGGGTTATCGACTTCCTTGTGCATTAGAGTCACCTCCAGATTTCAGTTAAAAATGCACATTCCCAGCATCGCACCCCATGAGAGCCTAAGTCAATAGAACTTTTATTACAGTGATATTTACCCAGAGGCCCTTTTATAGCTTCCCATATGCTTGGTGCTAGGACAAGCAGCTTCGTATACATTATTTGGTTTAATCCAACTAAAATTTCTATGATGTAGGCATTCCATTTATCCCTCTTCATAGAAAAATAAACTGGATATAAGAAAAGTTAAATACCTTTCCCAAGGTTCTGCAGCTCATGAGTGGGTCTCCAAAGTCTTGCTACTCAAAATATGGTCTGTGGACCCACAGGTTTGGCATCCCCTGGAAGGTTGTTAGAAATGTAGACTTTTAGTCTGGGCACAGTGGCTCACACCTGTACTGTCAGCACTTTAGGAGGCCAAGGCAGGTGGATCACTTGAGGTCAGGAGTTCGAGGCCAGCCTGGCTAAAATGGTGAAACACCATTTCTACTAAAAATAAAAAATAAGAAATATTAGGTGGGCGTAGTGGTGCAGGCCTGTAATTCCAGCTACTCAAGAGTCTGAGGCATGAGAGGCAAGAGAATCTCTTGAACCTGGGAGGTAGAGGCTGCAGTGAGCTGAGATCGGGCCACTGTACTTCAGCCTGAGCAACAGAGTGAGACTCTGTCTCAAAAAAGAAAAGAAAAGAAGAAAAGAAAAGAAAAGAAAAGAAAAGAAAAGAAAAGAAAAGAAAAGAAAAGAAAAGAAAAGAAATGCAGACTCTTGGGCCCCATCTCAGATCTTGTGAATCTGAATCTGCATTTTAACAAGACACTCAACTAACTGATGTGCACATTCAACTTTCAGAATCCTACTCTAGTGTACCTGAGTCAAAGTTGGGGTTCTTTTTCTCTCCTCTCTTGTCCAGTGGTTTTCAAACATGAGTTCACAGAAGAATCACCTGAGATTCATATTAAACAGGTAATTACTTATCCAGGCTCCACTATCAGATGCTGTGATTTAGTAGTTCGGGGTGGAGGCCCAAGAATCTGTGTTTTTAACCAACAGCCCAGATGGTTCTAATGTGAGTGTCCTGAGGATCACACTTAGAGAAACACAAGATAGGAAATGCATTGGCCTCACTTTTCCTGTCTATTGAAATAAAATAGAATATTTTTTATATGAGCTTCTCGCTTATAAAGACTCTGCTTTTAGTGGCCAGGTGCGGTGGCTCATGCCTGTAATCCCAGCACTTTGGGAGGCCCAGGTGGGTAGATCACTTGAGGCCAGGAGTTCAAGACCAGCCTGGCCAACATGGTGAAGCCCCGTCTCTAGTAAAAATACAAAAATTAACCAGGCGTGGTGGCATGTGCCTATCATTCCAGCTACTCTGGAAGCTGAGGCAGGAGAATTGCTTGAACCCTGGAGGCAGAGGTTGCAGTGAGCCAAGATCATGCCACTCCACTCTAGCGTGAGCAACAAAGTGAAACTCTTGGAGGCAGGAGAATCACTTGAACCCAGGAGGCAGAGGTTTCAGTGAGCCAAGATCGTGCCACTGCACTCCAGCCTGGGTGACAGAGCGAGACTCCATCTCAACAACAACAAAAAAACTCCGCTTTTAAGATCAGTTCCCACATTTGTAATGAGGAGAGGAGAGAAAACAGACCCCTCTAAACCTTCAAACATGGAAGTGGGACAGGCACAATGGCCTGTGCCTGTAATTTCAGCTACTCAGGAGGCTGAGGCAGGAGGATCAGTTGAGGCCAGGAGGTTGAAGCTGGGCAACATGGTGGTACCTTGTCTCTAAAAAAAAAAGTGTTTAAACAACATAGGTGAATGTAATGGTGGATACTGTTGTTCCCAGCTACTTGGGAGGCAGGGGTAGGAGGATCACTTGAGGGCAGGAGGTTGAGGCTACAGTGAGCTATGACTGCACCACTGCACTCCAGCCTGGGCAATGTAGTAAGACCCTGTCTCTAAAAGAAGTTAAAACAAAGAGTAGCTGAGCATAGTAGTGCATGCCTGCAGTCCCAGCTACTCAGGTGGGAGTATCACTTGAGCTCAAGCATTTGAGACTGAGTGAGCTGTGATTATGCCACTGCATTCGAGCCTGGGTAACAGAGCCAAATCCTGTCTCCAAAAAATTAAAAATAATATTAATAATAAAACAAAAAAGAAAACTGGGAGGTGGAGAAACTTTAAAGATAACTTGTCCGTAATCACATAGCTCATTGGTGACAAAGCTAAAGCAGAATCCAAGACTGCTGATTCTTTCCATTAAAACACCAATCACCAAACATACAGCTCAGTAGCAGCAGCAGAAGCACAAGTGGCAATTACATAGCTCTACATGTAAGTGCTTTTACATATTAATTTAAATATCACAATAGCCCACAAGGTAGATACTATTATTCTTTTTACACTAATGAGGAAACTGAGGCACAGAGAAGGTAAGTCACCTTCTTAGCAAGTGAATGTTAGAGTCAGGATTCGAACCCAGGCTGCCTAGCTTTGGTGTTCAGATTCTTAAGGCACTTGGTAAGCAAGGAATAAATGAATGGATGAATGAATGAGTGGATGAACAAAATATCAAATGATTGCAAACTGTTCTGGAATACCCTATCAGGTTTTATCCTTCTCTTTGTATCGAAACAAATGCGTTGAAGTGGAACTGCATCACACCTCTGTTACCATCTCTTGAAAGGGCATAGGAGCTGGAGGCAGACATACCTGAATTCAAACCCAGCTTTTCTGCTCATTAGCTGTATAACTTTGGAAGAGTCACAAAAAAATCTACATAAACCTTAGTTTTCTAATATGTAAAACAGACGCAAGGATAGTGGCCATCTCTTAGGGTTGTTGCAATGAAAGTAAGCCAATGTCATTAAAAGGCATAATTATTTTTAAAACTGCCACATATTTTGGGGGCCATGCTTGGTTTTCAAATAAGCTTGATGTTGTCTTAATAGTTGTAAAGCCACCTGAGGGCAAGGCACTGTTCCTTGAACCTCTTTATCTCCAGGATCCCCCACTGACTGTATTAATGAGCCCTTACTCACTGATAGGGATCAGCCTCGGTCACTGTTGCTGTGTTTACATACCAAGAGATGGAATAAACACTTCTTCAAGGCATAGTTTCTATGACCCGTCCCTAACCCAGTTTCTCGTTTTACAGAGAGAATGCAGGAATGCACAGAGAAACTTCTATGAACAGCAGAAGATGAACTTTGTTTTAGAGAAAAGTTACCTTGAAAAATAATTGAACAAGGCATCAATAGCAGACCTCCATCACCCTGGTTTGTGACCTCAGGCAAATCGCTTTGTTCCTCTGGGTGTCTATTTCTCTTCCTGTAGAATGAGCAGGACAGTTGCTCTGGTCTCCAAGCGCTCTTGCCTGTATTAACATTATAATTCTTTGAGTCCTTATTCAATGATGCTCGAATTTCCCACCCACCCCTCTTAAGCTTCACTGTGGAACACTGATAGAGAAGAACAACGCTCTCATCAAATGAGAAGTGTATAAAAATTATTAAGTATTATAACATCTATAAAACCATTAGAGCTACTACATATTGAGCACCTATTGTATGTTACCCACCGTGTTCACACTTGCACACATAACCTTTTCAACAACCCTAGGTGGTGGATCTTACTGCTCTGATGTTACAGATAAGGAAACTAAGCTCAGAGCATTTCAGATACATGCCCAAGGTCCATAGTGAGTAAATGGCATGGATGGGATTTGAATCCAATTTTTTTCGTGATCCAGGGTATATTATTGGTTTAAAAAGTAAAAGCAAAATGGTAAATGATTTGTATAATATACTACAATTTAGCCAAGAAAACTGAGGTGGTAAGTACAACTCATATAACCACATGAAACATTGTATATCTATATCTATGCAATAGAAAAACTGTAAAAATGTTAAGTGGTTACTTATAGTGGGAGTGGGGAAATTGAGTGGAGATGGCAGAGACTTCTTTTAACATATCTTGTTTTAAAAAGTACTCCCTAAATATCCAAAGTAAAATGAAACAGAAATTTGTAACCAGTGATTGACATAACCACATGGAGAAGAACTTCTCAGAGTGCTTTAAGGTGCCTCAGCTCTGCTTTAAAGCACAGTTATGTGGCTGCACATTCCTACTAAGATATAGCCTAAGACAAAAAGAGAACTGGAAAAAACAAATTATTTATCATTATACTAATGGTGGTAGTGTTCGTATTGTAAGCCTGAGATGGTCGTGGGTGTAGTGTGAGATAAGCCAAATGAACAATTTTGTGGGTGTATTTGAAAACCAGGAATTTCAACATGGGAGAAAGGAAATACATATGGAAGATAGATGATAGTAAGTGAAAATCCTGTAATTTTGAATTTCAACAAAAACTACCTTTATGATGCACATCAGTACAGGAAAGGCCTAGCAACAGCAATCCGGGAACACTAAGCACTGCTTGTGCCTAGATTGCTATCTCTAAATACCACTTCTCACTAAGAGAAGTCCAGGCTCCTTGGCAAAGTGACTCATTTCATGTCTGAGGCAAGTAATGTGCAAAGTGAGCCTGGAGAATTTGTCATATCTGAAAGCAAGGAAGCTATCAAACATTACTGAGATCTGTCAAATGAACTCAGAAGCCAATATGAACAGACTTCTATTGGCCAAAAATGAGATAATTTGAGAATTAATAACTTACAAATGATACCCAGTATGTTTAAATCCATGATATTTAAAAACATCCATAGTTACCCTTAGAAGTTGCTGCCAAACCAGCACATTATTTAGAAAACTGGTGAAAAAAAAATGTAAAGAGTAAAGAATTACATATTAATCATGTTTTTCTATGAGAATTATGCCTTAGCATAACCAAATCATTGATGAGGGAAATTGTTGATGATGTATGGAACTATTCTGACTAATTAACAAAAAAAGGCAGAATACAGAATTAGTCTATCACCATTTTGCAGTTCCTAATGAATTAATGCATCTAAGCAATGACCAATGACTGCTCACATTTCAGAGACAATCAAACACAGTGGGCTTTCTGCTAGATAAAGAAAGCACCCTGATGAAGTAGCCTTGCCAAAAGAAATTGATTGTGAATTTAATCAAAATTCAACATCCAACTACCGATTGACAGAAAACACACGGTACCAGAAATCTATTAAATGTCACCACAAAGATGCTGTCAGCAAGACCAAGATGTGGGAAACTCTACAGGACAACCCACCCAGTTGCTTCTGTAAAACACTGGTAAGGAAAATTATTTAAAGGGAGAAATGAGACAGAACCTGTAGATTACAAGAGACCTAAGAGACGCAATAATCAATTACAATGTATGGGCCTTGTGTGGACCCTGATTCAAACGAACAAACAAAACCAAATAACAACAACTGTTTATAAGACAATTAGGGAAAAGTGAACAAACATCTATTAATTTTTTGATGATATCAAATAATCACATCATAATATATGAACATCATAATTTCAAATGTTTGTAATTATTAATATTTTTAAGTGTGATAATCCCATGACTGCTTTTCTTTTTAAGAGCTCCTATCTTTTAGAAAATAAAACGAAAATATTTACCTATGAAGTTATATGATATCTAGGTTTTGCTTCATAGTAATGCAGGGGAGAGAGGTTGGGGAAACAGATGAAATAAGACTGGTCATGAGCTGCTAATTGTTGGAGCTGAGGGTAAGATTCACCTTTTACTAGTTTACTTATAGATAAGTTTGAAATTTTCACCAATAAAAAAGGTAAAAGCAAAACTCTCACAATGCCACTGACGGAGAATCCTAGATGCATGGCCCTTGTTTCTGTGGCCACCTTGGGACAGCATAGGCTGAGTAAAGAAACCCTGGTCTCCTCTCTCCATCCTGTTCACAGCCCATTGATCTCCAGAGCTATGGTTTCTCTCCTCCCCGGGGGTATGAGCATTGCAAAATGAGAAGCCTGAGAGCAAGTGCCAACATTATATTCTCAGCTGCAGAAATCAATATTCCTCTTCAGAGCCTGAGGTGGGAGAAGGTGCCTGGCACCTGGCCTGAACGCCAGCTCCAAGGGCATACAGCAAGTTATGTTGGCCTCACTTCCTTTGCCTTTCCTTGAGAGTGCTACAGATTGCCTTCCAGAGCTCAGACCCCTGCAGGTTTGTCCAGGCTACCTACAGATTTCCACAGGCTCCCAGGGCCAGAGGGGCTGACAGGAGTGGAAATGGCCACAACACAGGGCCATTCCTTTCCCAATCTTGATACATTTCCTCAGAGTTTTCTCTCTCTCCATATTCATTGCCACTGCTTGTATGGTCTGCTGCAGAGTGTCCTAGCCAATCTCCCTCTCGCTCCTCCTTTTGTTCTCTGCTCCTCCCATCTACTACATAGCCCTCCAAACCATTTGATTCTCCACATCGCAGTCCTGGTGACTTTTTCAAAGCCCAAAACTTATGAAACCAACTTGCTTCAGCTTCAAACCCATTGCTCTGGGGCTGAAGACTCAGATACTCAATACAGCTTCAAAGGTCTGTATCATCCACCCTGCTCTGGACTTACCCCACCCCACAGTCCTCCATTTTCTTTGCTTCCCAGCCCCTTGGCTTTCTTGTCAGAGTTTTTCTCATGTCCATCATTCATTCACTCAGCAAATATTAGTCAAGGATCTACCATGTGCTAGGCACACATACAACTTAAATAGCTTTACTGATTCTTCAGATATCAGTCCTAGTGCTCCTTTATCATGTAAATCTCCTCTGACATTCTTGACTATGGCCTTGTTCTCCCTGATTTATGCTCTGCTGGCACTGAGCATATCCCTTCAAAGTCCTTGCACTTACACTTTTACTGGTATAGATAATTGATTTCTTCCTCCCACCACTAAACTATAAGCTCATGAGAACAAAGATTATGTATGATACATAATTATTATTAATCATACATAATTCTGTTCACCCAGCACTGAGCCTGGCACACAGTAGGTTTTGGTAGAATACAGCTGGCTATAAATTTTTTTAAACTCATCACCGAAGGATGGAGTCTATTTTACCTCCCCTTGAATCTGGGGTGGTTCCATGACTTGTTTTGATCACTAGAATACTACAGAAATGACATTGTGCAACTCCTGAGGCTGTGCCTTAAGAGAACTGTAACTTCTGCCTCTGCCTTGGCCACTTGCAGTTTCTTTTAGGCATCTAGCAGACATGCCGTGAGGAAGCCCAAACAGCTATGTAGAGGGGCTCACATAAAAGAGAAACAAGGCCCTTGGTTGAACAACTGGTATCTAAGTGCTTCACCCAGCACCATGAGAAAAAGAATCTCCCATTTAATCCATATGACCTTGAGAAATTTATTATTGTTTTAGTACACTAAGTTTTGGAGTGGTTTGTTAGCAACCATAGGTCAGCAAAAAAAAACAAAGGTTCAAAAAATACATGAAGAATCAATAAATAGTCTGTTGTTCTCTGAGTCTTATTCAGTCCATAGTCCATATGTGGAACTTCTACATAATGTTAGAGCCCTGGAAGAGCATGGTCATAAAATGTGGAAGTCTTCAAGGAAGGACTGGAAAACGTATTCAGTCAAAAGCCCAGAACTGAAGAGATCCCACCCACTGGGAAAACAATGTAAGGCAAGCAAAACAGACTGTCATTCTGATGTTCTATGAGGAGCCCTGGGACACAGCAAAACCACACCTTCATCTCCCAGGACTCTCTGCAGGCCCTTGCCAGCCTGCCCCGATACCTTTGAGATATGAGGTCTCTCCCATGAGGGAGCAGTCATCCCCAGGTAGGAATTATTTGCTTAAACTCTGGAATTAGCTGATCAGGGTTCAAGTCGCAGTTTTGCCACCAGCATTTAAGGGAATATTGAGGCTGAAGGCGGTGGCTCATGCCTATAATCCCAGCACTTTGGGAGGCTGAGGCGGGCAGATCACCTGAGGTCAGGAGTTCCAGATCAGCCTGACCAACAAGGAGAAACTCCGTCTCTACTAAAAATACAAAAGTTTTACTGCATGGTGGCACATACCTGTCATTCCAGCTACTTGGGAGGCTGAGGCAGGAGAATTGCTTGAACCCGGGAAGCGGAGGTTGCAGTGTGTCAAGATTGCGCTATTGCACTCCAGCCTGGGCAACAAGAGTGAAACTCCATCTCAAAAAAAAAAAAAAAATAGAGAACATTGCACCTTATTATTCAGAATTTTACCAAGGGTGGATCACCATTTGAGAAAATCAGTTCACTATTAGCATCACTGCTGGTAGTATTTCCTTCATTCTCTCAGCACACAGGCATCCGTCTGCAACTGGAGCTGCTGCATTCAAGGTGGTTTTGCATAATGAGTACACACATTGATTATGTTGCTTTTAGAATAGTGAGGTCTGAACATTTCCATATCTAA